GGCATGGAGAACACTCAGCATTGAGTGCGCGACGATAACAGCTCTGACCGATATTTTCCCCGCAAAGTGAGAAGCAGATATCGCACTGATACTTGCTCAAAGCGCCCGAGATTATCGGTGGCCCCCTTTTCTCTGTCACCTTCCATCATTGAAGGCGCGACTTGCATCGTCTAAGAGCGCAGTGAAAGCCGGCTGCTTCCAAGCAGTGTTGTATCCGTTACCGAAGAAGAAGCAGCTAAATACGTTACTCGTCACTCCAACAAAAGAAAACGCGTTACCACTCTAAGTTACCTACAAAAAAAAAAAAGATAAAGCGTTACCGTAACCAAAATGAGGTAACGGACGTTACCTCTACTGTTACACAATCATTGATTTTAATGTTTTGGCTACAGGAGGCCAGAATAAGAACATTGTATATCTCGAATTCATGTCTCACATCTAACTCAAACAAGGATTATATTCAAGATGCTCGTTGAACGAGTATTATTTGTACAAATGTACATGACCTTATAAATGTTACATTTGCTTGTAGTTACATGTGATGGCTTATGACTCAGCGGCACATGATGAAGCTATTTTCTGTCAACGCGACATATACACCATATCGGATTCAATGATCCACGCTATCCAACACTGAGAAAGCATCACTGAACTTCAAATAAATTTACAGTAATCAGCTTTTACCGGGTCCGAGGAGCCCCTCCAGTGGAGATCGTCTAAATCAAAACTGTTGGTTCTGCCCCGCCGCGGTGGATACTCTACTGCAGACTCGCAGGTCGCGGGATCGAATCGCTGCTGCTGCGGCTGAATTTTTGATGGAGGCGAAAACGCTGTAGGCCCGTGTGCCCAGATTTGGGTGCATGCTCGATACAAAACGCCTGGTGGTCGAAATTTCAGAAGCCCTCCATTACGGAGTTTCTCATAATCAATGGTGGTTTCACTCAAACTCAAGGACGATGACGGCGAAACCAATCACACACAGTCACCGGTAGTTTTCGTGGGCTTTTATCGCACCTAAACATGAACTATCAGGCCCAGCTCTTCAGGCTTCTATCTCGGTAACATAATTCGCGGATTGTGGTGGCATATTCGCCCCAACTACGAAAGCAAGGCCGCTGAACCACGGGACACGAATGTATAACCGGCGACCGGCCGGGCTAGTGTTTTCCGACCAAAACGCCGGTAGAGGCCGCTACCTGTGCCGTTAATGCTGATGCGCAGTAGTTTTCCCGCAAATACCACATGTCAAGTTTCAACACTTTCATAAACTGAGAATGCAGGTTTGGAAATCTTCAGGGACTTTGCAAACTTCAAAGATCGTGCTTCCAACTTGGATGTTTAGCTGGATTGCTCACTTGCCATGATAAGAAGCACCATCGCGTTCTTCGTGCAAACTTGGTAAACGAAAGCTCGTTAAATGTCAAAGGGAACACGAATTGGCCGTGTATAGTGTTAATCATATAAAAACCATGGACGATGCTGCAAAAGGTTTTCGATGTCTCCATGTAAATTCTCTCTTCAACCGCCGCATGCCAAACTGGAAAGGTCCACCGGTAACACAACCTTTGCCCACTATACCCGTGGCTTCCACGCTGTCTTCCAACGGTTAACGGGCGTACACTACACTGGCGACATATGGAGTTAATATGGGAGCTCCTACGCATGCAACTTCTCGAAAAAGTAATTCAAAAGAAAAAGAAAGAGGGACACCAATGTATTCCTGTGAGAAGTAGCGTTCTGAAAATGCTATAACAACATTAAAAACAGCACTATTTATCCTATTCTGCATTCAGAGTCTGCTAATTCTTTATACGCCACGTTTCGTGTAAGTACATAGTGATTTTCATAATTTTTTCTCTTTGATTATCATATCATTTGTTTTAGATTTCCTAGATTTAGCGTTTTCAATACTATTATCGTATTTATGGAATCGCCGGCTCTAAGGTAGCCTACCTCCCCATGTCTTGTTTTGTTTTTTTACATTTAAATAAACAACACCAGCAACAACAAGAATAATAATAATAATAATAATAATAATAATAATAATAATAATAATAATAATAATTCGTTTTCTGTACGGTGGACGGCACTTAAATCAGCAATGGGCTTTTTTTAGGTCCCGAACAGCGCCACCAATGGAGATCGCTGAAATCGAAACTCGGGGGGTCAGTGGCCTCCGAAGTTATCAGTAGAAATTCTCTGGGCCAGGTATTTTTCATGGCAATTTGCAAATGGCGCCCCCCAGTGACTCCCCAAAATCATGGTGCGCGTGACGTCACCGCCGCTGCGCATGCGCAGACCAAGGCTCCTGAAAAAGGCCAATTCCCCTCACTTTAACATCGAGTCTTTTCACGTTCGTGCGTTTGTCAGGTCGCGGCAGGCAAGCTCGACAAAAGTTCGCGTACACAGTCCACAAAACCGGGGGAAAACGCCTCTCACATTTCTCCGGGATCGGCTCCGACAGGTGATGTCGCAAAGAACGGGAGCATCGCACCGATCGTTTAGTAGCAGATGCCCATCAAGGTGAAAAAAAGTCAGCAACCAAGCTCCGCAGGCTAAGACGCAGTTTGACAGTGAGCATCTCAATAATAACGTCGCATCGCGCGGCCTTTCGGAATAAATAACAGACTATAGGCTTGAGGCCAGAGCGCGCATCACAAAGCCGAGCTGTCTCCAACACTTTTGTGAAGGCCGCAGCCAGGTTGCCACTCGCATGTGCCAACCCCACCAAACGAGAAATCACACGAAGGTGCACGGCCGAGTAGGTGTAGCCCAACTTAATTCAGGGGCAAGAAAAACAAGGCCGCAAAAACATGCAAAGCAACATGGACTAGCACACGCATATGTTAATCAGCAGCTTCTCACGATAAGCAGCTTGTATTTCTAAAGCAGGGTTAACGGTTCCCAGCGATATTTTTCTCTCCTTTTCGCCTTTTCAATTACCATTTTTGTTCTGTTATATAATTGTCATGTGATAAATAATTCATAGTTTTCTTTCGCAGGTGCTTCAAGCTATAAATATGCTGGCTTTTCGCAACAAAGTATTGCTGCGACACGCGGCTTTACTGCGTTTCTATTTCTTTGTGAATGAGTTTCACATTTTTTTCTATTTTCATTTCGCCAGCTCAGACGAAAAACAAGTGCGCACGCGAGCAATGTCTGCGCGCGGCGTGGAAGGAACGAAAAACAATTCCATCGTTTTGTTGACTTTCTTTTTTATCAGATAAGCCTTGCACCGCATAACTAGAATAACGTTCAAGTCACGTCGGATTCGTGTGCTTTCCTACGTTACAAGCACCACCTGCGCCAGTGTGTATACTAATAAATCGGTAACATTCTACTCGGCGCTGAACATCGGTCATGTGACCCGACTTTTGGGCAGTGACGGTGAACTGATGGCGATTATCACCTGCATGCAGCCAAATACTGGACAGCAGTGTCATTTTCTTGAGCAAATCAACTTTCTTCCTTTACTTGTTCGACGCTTTTTGTTGGCGCATTTTGTAGGTTTGTAGGCTTGCTTGTATGATATTAGATTTTGTCATTATCAAGTATCCATATCGCCATTTAGAGTATATTGTTCACCATGTTATAATGCACAGGAGGTCTCATTTCAGTTTGTAACTGCGGGACCTCCTTCCGTATATTCTTGTGATGTATCTGCTCCTTTGTTTGACTTGATGTAAATGATTCAGATTATAAACTGCGTCTATCACCATAGAGCGACCACTTCCTCCTCATGTATGTCCCCATATGTAATTGGGAAGGGGCTGGTGGAGTCCATGCTTATACTTAAATGGATTCTGACACTTGAAGAGTCATAATCACAATTTCATGAAGACGACACACAGCAATGCGAGATTTCAGATTCCTTTTGATCCCTTGGGCTTCTCTAGTGCCTCGTCCTTTCCCAACTTTTCCTCAATATGCACAACACACGAGCGATTTTAGCTTTCCGTACCAATCGGAATTCGGCCGCAGCGGCGGGTATCGAACACGCCGACCTTCCCACTGATTTTCCCGAGGCAGGTGGGAATATGCTTAGCGATATTATGCTATAATTTGGCTCTTACTCTAAGTAAGGAAAAAAAACGCAAAAATAATGAAGGGTTAAAAAAATCTGCATAAGATTAGCTGTAGAGTATACTTACGAGAGGCTACAAAATAGTTCCTTTTCATGGAAGCTCTGCGCTACTGTGACGAAACTAAACTTTTTTTTTTGTACAATGCAATTAGCACGGCTACTTTTAAAGCAGGCTTAAAAACAAAAAACAGCAAAGAAAAGCACCACAAGATAACGGACAGACATGCCCTTTATTTCCCTATGACAATTAATGACCCAAAAATAATTCTAGTTTAAACAACTTGACATATAATAATAAATCCAGATTCCGTAATTTAGTTAAAAAATAAAAAGAAAAGAAAGAAAACGCTTTCCAGTTTCGGATGTGGTTTGTGTACGCTGACAAGGTGAGTGAGGGTGATGTGTAGGGCACTGCATCATATTCTGATATAGCGGATGAGTGGAACTGCTTTCGTGACTCCACCGCGATTACCATATGGAAACACACCACGCACAGTCAACAACATCGAGGAAGGAATGTCAACAAGTTTCAAGCATAATCAATGCTGAATAAGTTTCATTTACGCTATACTCCGCCTGAGCAAAGGGAAGTGATTATGCCTGGTGCTGATTCAGTCGGATGAAGCCCCAGCACAAATGCTGATACAAACATCAATGAGAACAACAACAAAAAAGGGGTCTACTCCACGCAGGCAAGTTATATCTGTCCGATCGCATGGCTTAGCTGCCAGCAAAATGCGCCAGTCAGGCATCGAACAGACATGTTGACGCCTAGCGTTGATGCCGCGTAGTCAGCACTTACATAACACGTGCGTGGCAGAAAGCGAAACGCCAGCGCAAGGCGCGACAGGCGCGCGCGGCTACTAGAAAACTAAAAAAAAAAAAAGGCACTTTATCGGCTGAGAAGTATACTCACATATGACCACTGCAGCGACGAGTCTCACCGCGTTGTCCGGTGGTGAGCAGCCGGCGTAGATTGGTTCCAAGATGTAGTTGGCGAAAGTGATGCCGGCGATCGCGTTGCTCGTGGGCTGAATGATGAGGAGCGCGACCCACAAAAAGAGAAATGCCGGCAGCGGACCGAAAGCGGCGAAAATGTAGGCGTAGTCCCCTCCCGACTTTGGGATCATCGTCCCTAGTTCGGCATAACACATGGCTCCGACCATCGATATGAGACCGCACGCAGCCCATACCACGAGGGCCATGCCGGTGGAGCCGGCGTACCGAAGCACTCCCGTGGGCGAAACGAAGATACCGGCGCCTATGATCACCCCGACAATCATCCCTACGCCGTTCATGAGACCCAGCTCCTTCTTCAGTGTTACCGAATTTCCTTTAGGTGACTCCGCACTGGAACCCCGACGCACCTGGACGTCGGGGTTCATCAACTGCGACTCGGCGCTCGGTTCCGGCGGCATGGTCGTCGCTGCGAGGCGTCTTCGCGCCGCGTGCGTTAGCTGCAATTGCGCGTGTTTGGCTCCTGCTGCAAGCTGCCACGCGGTTCCGTGCTGAGATCGGCTGCCGTCGACGCTGAGGGAGACACGCTGTAGCACATGGAAGGCCTTGCGACGCGCCGCTTCTGTTCCGGGTGATAGAAGTTGCGTCAGGCACTTTTGAGGGGGTGAACCCTAGTCTCAGCCTTTTTTTAGTGGATGGAGGAGAGCTTCATAGAGAGAGAAGGCCACCGCGCCGAATACGGCTTGTCTCTCCCTTTCAACTCACTTGCTCTTGCTTCTTGCCCTTTCTTTTTATCGCTCGCGATGAAGGTCTCCCTAGCGGCGAGCTGAAACACGTTTCTCTTTTCTGTTTCGGTTTCGGTTTTATACGTTGCCAGTCTGTAATTGAAGGTACGTTTTGTTTTTCTTCTCACGAACTCTTGTGCTTACACGTTTTGTTTATGACAAGGTGGCGTGTTTTACCCTAATACATGTACCCTAACATTTTGTCTCTTTGATGATCTTACTGCTGATAATCGTGCAGACAGGCTGCTACATCGTTTCACGGCTGTCTTCTAGCGGGCCATAGAAAGCCGCAACGAGACATGCATGGTGTATAAGTAGAACTACAAAAGGGTGGCAGAAAGTTACGTGTCACTGTCAAGCAACTGTGTTCCAGCCTGCAAGAAAGAAGACTTTGGAACTTTCTGGAACAAATAAGCAAATCAGAAGCACGCATTCTGTTGGCACGTGCAACAATTTGAAGTCATCATAGTTTTCGTGAGACGCTCACTGTACCTAACAGCACCACCCTAATATTACGCTCTAAAAAAAGATCAAGTAAAAAGGGTGTCTTTTTGTTCCGCAAAAATATAATCATCATCCAGCTTGCTTGCGCTTCCACCCTTGAAAACTCGGCGCTGACCACTTTCCTGTCAAGAAAGCTATGTCAGGCTGATAACCCGCATGCCATTCGTGACCTGTAAGTGCCAGGCGCGCGGGGATAGTGCAAGGAAAAGAACGCAAGGCAGATGACGATTGTTGTTGTGGTACAATAAGACGCCCTTGTTGCTCGATCTTTTCTTTGAGTGTAAGATTCAGCTCTAGAAAGCCTGTGGTACCCACAGCGTACACTCTAAAAAAAATTGAGCATTTGGGGAGTGTTTCTGCAACACAAATATAATTGTTATCTACCAGTACTTTCCTCACGTTATCACCCCGGTTCCGCTAGTTCGCAGTCACTAACGGCGCGCGCGTTATCAGTGTGACATAGCATTCACGACAGGAAAGTGGCCAGCGCCGGGTTTTCAAGAAAAAACGCGAGCAAGTCAGATGGCTATTATTGTAGTGTAGCAGCACTACTTCCCGAATACTCCATTTCTTTCTTGGAGTGCATTCACCTTTTGTGACGCTTGCGCTCCATCAGTTCGGTAAGAGCGTTAGCGATGGTGATCTGCTGATCCAGTTTGTGCCAGTCTTGGGCAGTAAGCAGTTACTAGTAACGAGTTACTGATGACTAGTTTCTTGAGATTTGAGATTTGATTTATTTCACCATAATCGATACATAATAATATATACAGTTCAAACAAAGATTGAATAGGAAAGAGGAAAGTATCATACATGGTGAGGATAGCAGGGTAAAAGCTGCAATATCTGCAGCTTGACAAGCCCCTTGACAAGTTTAAGTAACTTGCAACTGTGACTAGTTTTAAGTCAGAGGAACTTGCAACAGTTACACTGTTACTTTTCCACACATAGGGTTGCTACCTGTACGGTTTTAGACCAGCTCGGCCGGTTTTTCAGACAGCAGGCCAGTTGCAGGTCCGCACCCGCCGTCATTGGGCAGTTTCTTTTTTTTTTCGGAGCAGTAAACGAAATGTCATTATGATAATGGGTCTTTTTATGCCGTCAGGTTTCATCGACTCAGGGAAAGCAATCAGGTCAAAAACCTTACATGGCGTCTATGGTTCAACACTAATTTCATCTCATAGCTCACACCCCCCTTCCCCCCGTTGAAGGGCCGGTTTTTGTTCTAGAAAAGGTGGCAACCCTGCTATAACGGGAAATACAGTTACAGTTGCTTCTGTTTTCATAAAAAAATTATTCAGCAGCAACACTCCTTGAAAAAAGACGTAAATCGATTTCTATTTTTTGGAACTTTTTTGCTTAGCATATCCTCTCCCCCTTTCAACTTTACACAATAGTAATCCTCACGCAGTTTAAGAGAGGAGTCGTTGAGACTATCTTCCTTTCAAAAGACCGACGTCAGTGGTTATGCAACTTCAAGTTTACTTGTAAAATACATGTCATAAATCAGTCATGTTGCAACTGATCAGCTTTATGTACACGTTATTGTTTTAATTTTTTGCCACTTGTGTTCTTGGTGGGCCGGTGGAACATTAGGATGTTGTCTTTTTCATCCGAGGCACCGAAGTAACCTTGTTTGACAGGCGGCTCGAAGGCAGCAGCGTGCGAAGTGGTTGAGGGCCATAAATGCCGTGATTTAGCAAAACAACTTTTTCTAACATTTTTTGAACTGGTAGTTAAATGCTACTTAACACGACAGTTACTAATAATATGATATGGATGGGTCACCTCTAATGCAGGTTCCAACCCCCCCTTCCCCCTCCAACGTCCGGTAAGTGCCAGTCTTTGTTCTTGCAAGCCGTTACGTCGCGATGAGTGAACCACGCTAACAGGATTTTCCAATGTTCTTGCAGTGTGATTTCCAGTGTGCTTGCCAGTGGTGGAGTTTCCAGTGTGATTTACAATGCGGCTCAGTGAGCTTCCAGTACGATTCCAGTGTGCTTGCAATTAGTGCAAGCCTACAATATTTGTACTCGTTGGTGCAAGTATTGCGTGCTTCGACAATTGAAGAGGAAATGCCGCGGACTTAAAAAGTTGTATCCACTTTAACAACATATGAAATAGACACAATGGGCGTATCTTTCTTTGCTCGTGAAGCACTCCCCGTTCTTTCTCGCATGCACTTCGGGATGGCGTTGAACGCCGCAGGATACCGCTGTCGTTCCAATGCATCAATCACTTTATTCATGATTGATATCTGGGGTTTAACGTCCCAAAACCACCATATGATTATGAGAGACGCCGTAGTGGAGGGCTCCGGAAATTTAGACCATCAATCACTTTATTCAATTCTATAGAATCCAAAGACGTTTATTGATGCGGCAATACGTGACGTGCACCACAACTGCTTGTGTTAGGCCGTCTTTTTGGTTTCATCTGCCTATAGGTATTACCACGTGCGATTTCGACTACCCATGAGCCTTTGTAAGTTTTAGAGCTCAGCTCTTAGCTACCCGTTCCTGCTGTGAGCGGCGTCGCTGTTGTCGGCGTAACCAATGGAACGAACGAGAACGAAAGAGAGACTGTTCCGAAGAGTTTTCCACCTCGAGAGCCAGCGAGATGCAGTGTTAGCGTCTGCCATGTCTCGTGGCTGCTCGCGCTTCTTGTAACAGCACAATGCATTCCTCTCGTGCGAGGCCACGAGGAAGTAGGTTGACTTGCAAGCCTTGGGAAAAGACCTGCGTTGGTGGATGGGACACTTTAGCGAGTGGGACGAGGGCCCTTTACAGTCCGCCGCAGCATTCGCGTTAGCCAGCGGCGGCGGCAGTTGGCGATGCCAGGTTAACCACGTTGCCGCGAAAACCGAGCATTAGTTACTTTTTTTATGTGATTCTTAAAGAGGAAATAAGAGAAAAGTGAGCCCCTTAAACTGTCTGCATCAGAGTGCGACACCTCAACAGTAGCTCACGAGGGTTGGGGGTAAGGGGGGATTAAAGGATAGGATTAAAAGGTAAATAGATAGGGAGAGGAAGGAGACAGCGAGGCGCGGGGACAGCTAACAACAGAAAACGACGGAAGTAAAGAGGAGATAGGAAAGATGGACAGGGTCGCAGGAGTCCGAGGACGGGGCATTACTCAGCGAGAGCTCTTGTCGGCGTCAGGAGATGGCGTAGGGGCCGCCCAGTCGGCCAGAGCTGCGCTGTCGTCGGAGATCGCGGGGGCACAACCAGTCGCACGAAATTCAGCGAGCGAGTGCCCACTCGCACAGCGCCACGTCACTTTCACATGTGCCCATTTGTTCAACTTATCGCAAAAGGAAGACACTTGAACAGCTGCGCTTAGAATTCACATTGGGCAGCATCGTAAGCATCGGTAAATTTTAAATAAATAAATTATATTATTTGGTTTCTTATCTATTACTTATTTTATGCAGTGACGGTAAAGCAATGACGTTACTTTCTCACGGAATATGTCACTGAAACACATTATTTTTCGAGACTCGGCAACAATAACTGCAACAGTGTTACTTTTTTGTCCTATGTAACAGTAATTGTAACACTGTTATATTTTACTGCATGCTAAGGTTTTCATGACTGGTTGGTACCACATATTGTAAAAATTGTACAGGAAAACACCAGAAGTGTCTGTCCCGCCAAATTAGGACCTGCAGCTGGCACCTGTCCTTAAGTGGAAAAGTTAGCGATAATTGCGTTCTAGTGGTTTCATCCCGTTGTGGAGAAGTATAGATGTTTACCGCATAATTTGAAGACCACGCAGTGAAGTGATACGGAGGGAAAACTGTTGGAGTAACAACACGAGAGAGAGATATATATATATGAAAGGAAAGGCAGGGAGGTTAACCAGACGCACGTCCGATGTGCTACCCTGCACTGGGGGAAGGGGGAAAATAGAAATAGAAGAGAGAGAAGAAAGATGCACACAATACACACAATAACGAGCACACTTGGGCGAGCACACGCAGTCTACAGGCGGTTGTTCAAAGTGGAGAGTAGGGAGGGAGAGTGAGAACAGGAATAGCCGATTCTCTCGTGTGCACATGAGAGAGTTCTAGAATGGAAGTAAAGGTAGCGCTATCGAGGATTGCCCACAATTACGTGGTGTCATCAAATTTCGAAGTTTGTAGGCGCAAGATTAAACAAAGTCGCGCAATACACTGAAGGTGAAATGGAAATCGTTGGGAGGTGCGCTTGTTCACTGTTTAAAGCGAGGAGGGTGGTTATTGTAATGGTCAATTTTATAATGTCAAATTTTATAGTTTTTTTACCGTTCATCATCCTAATAGGGGGCCTCATTCGCAGAAATAGGGGGGTGTTCAAGAAATGGTAAGAATGGCGTATATTTAAGCACAAACTAGCCCAAACATTAATTAGCCGGACAAGAAGCCCTCATCAAATAGTTACTGCTGATTTTAAAGTA